CAGAGTTTAAGGCAACCGTGATCATTCACTGGAACAAGTGGTCAACATCCATAAATTTCGTTGGTTCGGACATTGGTTACGCAGGTCACGAGATAGGTGGCCATCGTGAGTGATGATCGTCGAAGCAGGTAGTGGTAGGACAAAAGACATGGGTGGTCAAGCCAAGACCTGGCATGAGGGTATGAAAACCCTAACCCGGAGACTGGGTCTTGTTAGGCTCCCTGGATGGGGACCTTGGGTTGATCGTACCCGATGGTTAGAGACACTCGGCGATATGGCTGGGTGTCGTTCACAGTGGCGTTCGTGCATCTTCTTACGTTCTCGCTCGCTGCCTTGCGGGTCAGGCTTTGGCTAGCCGAAGGCTCCGCAGCTGTGGTTTCCTCAAGAAAATTCACCTGCCTTGACCTGGGCAACCTGGCAGTATTTAGCCCACATGCAAATCATGGAACGTTTATCTTTTTTACAAAGATTATTGTACCGCGATTTGTTTGACACACAGTCTTCTTTTATTACACACCCAAGTGTGATGAACAGCAGACGGGACGAACCCTATTGTCAAGAGGACCTGCTGTTCAGTGGTGGCAACCGGCAACTTAAGCCCCGTAACTTGGAGAAGCGAACGACATAAGGCCCCGATAGGTTAGGCGTGGTATTGAACCGGACGACGTGTGTGAAATATAAATAATAAAAACTGCTCAGTATCGTCGGATTCGAGATTTGATTTTAGTGTACCAAATATTACACAACCTAAACCACCTTGGTCGCCCACTTTTGACGTTATCATCAAACGTTTATCTACGGGGACATCCATTCAATTTACTACTCCAAAAATTTCGATTAGACCGTCGACATCATTCCTTTGTCGCCAGAGTGTGCACTGCGTCGAATGTCTTACCTTCTAATTTCGTTTGTGCCACGAAGATTGATTCATTCAGGGTAAAACTTGACGAATCATTAACACACATCATATTCCAACACCCAGGAGCACACATAACACAACGGAATAAAGCATATGGAATTTTATTCATCGTTGTTACAGTTCAATTCGTGCAAACACTCTATGGAACAAGAAAAGCATCTGCTTGTTGGTAATGCCCATATTAAAACTTTGACTTTGCAGCATCGTCCTCCGTCTGTCAGGCACAGATTGCTTTACGGGTTTTGATCAGCTGATAAATGAAGTGAAGTGATGAGTTGCGAGGCACCGAAAAGCTGAAGTCTACTGGCCTGAAACCGATAAGAAGCCAAATTGTACACGGGTAGCCATAAATTCTCCCCGAGACACAGAAATGATCATGTGATGGTGGTGGCCAAATGGTTCAAGTGGTAATCAAAATAGTGATCAGGGCTATGTTATGTTATGGCTATGTTAATTTGAGTGCTGTGCGTTATCGTAATACTTAGTTGCGTTCAAGGTGACAGCAGAGCTGCATGCTAGTGAGCACATGCTCCGGCAGTGGATAGGGTCTTGAGTCTGGGCTCACTAAATAAGGCGATAGTAGATTGGCTGGCGCATCAATTTGTTCACCGCACAGTGACACGCCAGTAGCGGTCCACAATCAAATAAAATCGCTGCTTCCTGTCGTGCTTTACCTGGTCCACATGGGACGGGGAAAATGGGTTGCGCACCGGGGGTCACCGACTCGTCCGGAATAACCATGTGGGAAGAGCTCCAGATGCAACTTCGAACAAAAAGGCCGAGAGAGAGGATTGGCTAGTTCACTGAACTGTGTGTGTGTGTGCAACGGAGTAGTGAAACAGTCGCGACGATGCATCAAGAGTTCCGTATCATACCGGCACCAAACTTCACGAATCAATCCCCGTCCAGGGGGAGATATTGGAGAAGCAGATACGGGGGCTTTGTGGACAACATGGGCTGGAGTTATCAGTGTACTACTAATACGACGGATTATTCTTAATTACAGACGTGTATAACGAACTGTTCGGGGGAAATTTATTTTTCAGTAAGGTAACTATGTCATCGAGACTGAACTGAAAAGCTCTCAAGACACTGTACGACTGGTGTATATATCTATCGGAAGTTACGGGCAGCGCAAAATTCAGCGTGTCTGTCGTCATAAACGAGCAATCATCCAGTTGCAGCGTATGCATGCTAACTAACTACACGGCTTTGTATGTGTATATTCATGTTGCCCTGTGCACACGTGAACGAATTCGATCGAGAGAGAGAAAATCAACGGAGNGAGCGGTAAGAGGGAGAAAAAACGCGGTCGGCCGGTTGTATGATGGTCTAGAACCGAAAATGCTTAACTCTTCCGATTCGTGTGGAGTGTCGATGGGAGCGCATTCCACCTTTCGCAATCAGCATGAACGGGGATAGGAGGAACCGCTATATTTTGTTTTAAAAAAGGGTGTTAATTCGCCAAACAAATATTCGAAATAGAACGAACCACGGACTCGGTTTGTCTCGTTGTGTGTGTGTGTGTGTGTGTCAGAAAGTGTGCGCGCGCTTGTGTGTAGAGTATTTAGGAGTGAAAAGTACACGTATTCGATTGCGGCAGAGTTGGTGAAATAAAGAACAAGTTCAGGATTGAAGCAGCTGGAGCGCATTAACAATCACCGATTATGTTTTATTCGTAAAGCGATTAATCCGAGTCAAATTAATACAATGTGCGTTAAAGGGGATGATTTACCACTACGTATAGTGGGAGCAGCCGTCCGGCTTTCAGTCTTTGTACACAAAACGAAAGAGAACAGTATCACCCTATTCACCACGAAATAACAGAACACTACTCACCTTTGCAGGCAATTAAATCCGGGTGGGATGGGGCATATTTCGTGAGTAGGCTACCAAACAGTACGCAATACTGTCGGAAATGGCGGCCGGGACGCAACAAATAGACAGGGAATGGCATTAAACAGTCCGGACGCGATTCAATTCGGTGCCACAGAGCGCGTATTCGGACCGGATCGGCAGTTGTTGTCGGCACGGGGTCAATGCGCATCGAGACATGTCGAACAGACCTATTCACTGCTGATTCGGAACGAGCTCGACTCACACGTTTTGAGGATGACAGAGCGGGGTTGGCCGCGGACGTCGTATGGGCAGGTGGTGAACGACTAGAACGGGTCTCGTCCATCCCATCCGGTTCCACCACGGGATGTGGAATGCTACTGTTCGGAGTAGGGACGGCCAACAGATCCGAGTAGGCCAGATACCATAATTCGGCGACCAGAGCGCTATTGTCAGTTATCCATGCCGTATATGGCTGTGAACATGAGGAGAGCGGGGCAGGGGAGGGTGGGGGGGGGGG